TCTTCTGAAAAACCTCCCATAAATTATCTGAGCTGTCATAAAAAGCTTGTCGTCCAAATGATTTATCATTTTGATTGTCATGTTGTTGCATAAGTCGTCTTAATCGTTGGCTTGTTTAAATCGTAAGCCTGATATCCTTATCGTAATTTATAAATCGTGAATTTGTCATGTAGCTTGCTTATAGTACTCAGTGGTTATTTTTATCAATTTTTCAAAAATGTTATTATCATTATAATTATCAAATAGGATGTTGGAATATATGAATAATCAGAGAATTGATCAAATTTGGATGTACGATAAATCAACAAGATTGTTAGATAATATTTTTTGCGTTTTTATTTTTATTTTGCGTGTTCCAATTTATTTTTTTCGCGTTTTAGTATTTAATTTAATTTTTCGTGTTTTAGTATTTAATTTATTTTTACATATTTTAAGTTATTTAATCTTTTAGATAAACAGGTTTTTGTCTACTTCGTATCGGTCTAGGAATCGGTGTTACAAAAATTCATTAGTTTTAATATTTTTGTCCACACTTCCGTCCTTCTTAGTAGAGTCGTAGTATGCAAATCTTTCTTAATTGGTCCAGGTGTTTCCTTGTAATACCTTTTTCTGTATAAACTTGGAACATAGTGTCACTTTCCTTCAAATTGATTGTCTCTTTGTCCCATGTGTCATTCCCTTGTACTTTATACCAAACAAAATCTCCTAAGTTAAAGGTTCTATTTCGTGGGAAAGTAACGTGTTCTCCTTCTCCTCCAACGGTTTTAATAAGTCCCATTTAACTCTAATATCACGATTGAGCATTCTTTCAGAAGGTGTGACTCCTGTAGTATCAAAGAAGGACAGAAGTGTGGACAAAAATATTAAAACTAATGATAAAAATATTGACTAGACAGATACGAAGTATGCAAAAACCTGTTTATCTAAAAGATTATATAACTTAAAATATTAAAATATGTAAAAATAAATTAAATACTAAAGCACGAAAAATTAAATTAAACACTAAAACGCGAAAAAAATAAATTGGAAAACGCAAAATAAAAATGCTAAAAATATATAAAAAATAAATATAAAATAAGGTAAAAACAATTTAAACGAAATACATGGTTAAAGGCTAACATTGTTTAAAATAAAAGCAATTTAAGTTAAACAAATTTAAAAAGTCACTCTCGGTTAACACAGACAAAATAACAATGTATAATTTTCTTACAAGTCTAGAAAATAGATTAATCGATACTTTTAAAGGATCAAGTTTTGATCTTTCCAAAAAAATATGGATCGATATTTTTTTCAAACGATCTGAGGAAAATTTAATCCCCACTTTATTGGTAGTGCCAATTTATTATCTAATATTGTTAGAATTTGTAACCAACAGTAAACTGATTTACAATTTGTGGTGCTTCAATTGTTTCTTTCTAAAATTTACATGAAATAACTCAATGAATTTATTCATTTTGCATATAACTCATTGTACCCATTCCCCCTCTTTTAATCTAAAATCCCGTTTGAACTCTAATATAGCAAAATATTTGGCATCATTTCTTTAAAATAATTTCCATAATATATGTTTTTTAATTATCAAAAATTTCAGTATCGCTGTTGAGATAAAGTAGGCTACATTGATTACTAAAATGATGATGGAAAATAAATAAATAGGAGGTTAGAATATTTGAGCAAGGTTAGTTGAAAATGTAAATATAAATAGTAGGTTCACCTTAGATATGTATAAGGTATTTATTGGTTATTTTTAATTTATTTGATAACTCTTAAGAATTATTTAACCCTTGACTGGTATGGAATACTATGGCACCGCAACAATTCCAAATTCTTATAATTACATAAAAAAAACCTGTCTATATTTTGACTTGATTTTTTTTAATAGACTCCTATTTTATAATAAACAATGTTTCGGCAAAGTTTCACATATTTTTATTGAATGATTTATAAGATATAAACATCTTTCTGAGGTAAAAACGTCAATTTTATTCTAATTAAATAAAAATAAATATTATATGAAAACAAAAATATACTAATATTTAATTAATTAAATAAAAAATTTAATTGCAATATTTAAGGCTCTTTTGCTACTTTATTTTTGTCTTTCTTTACAAATTTTCCTAAGGTTAGTCTAAAATATCAAAGTATTCGCCCTCTACTCATGTTATTTAGACAGGATGTTATGGTAGTTGAGCAAAAGTAAAAGAGTGACTGATACAAGGCAAAAAATGAGTAATTGCCTAGATTATTTTGAAAGGTCAGTTTGTATCATGAATTATTTAGATAAATTTTTTCAGAATATTCTAAAGTAGGAGCTTTTTTTTAAAGAATTGATAAGAATAGGAATTGGCTGTTTATACTATTCAAGTGTATCGAAGATGAAATAATATTTAATATATTGGTGAAGCCTTTTTATAACTTTGCTCAAGTTCGTAAAAATAAACTATTTGTGCTTCCACCCCCCCCCCCTCTCCTTTCATGCCTTCCAGCCATTTTTGCCAGACAGTTGTGTATTGTGCTGATTTAAAAAAATTTTTTTTATTAATCATTGATTATTTTTTTTGAATTTGGTGACAATAATAAATTTTAAAACCTAGTAAAACCAAGCTTACTGGTCTAAAAAACAATTATGCTCCCTATTTCTATTGGTAAATCAAAAAGGAAAATAATACAAGACAAATTATACTTTTTTTGTTTATTATATATATATATTTTTTTAAAAAAAAATATTGAATAAAAATGTGTAATTGCAATAGATTTTATGGAAGTTTGATCAAGTATATTTCATTTATTTTAAAGTAGCTTCCGACATGCAGGAGATCTAGCAACCACCTGATTATGCCTCTTATATATATATTTTAAAAAAGTAAACAATATAATAACAAACTTTGAGTGATTATATACATAAAACTCATAATTGAACAAATGTCATGTATAAATTTTTTATAAATCAAATACATATATAATCTATTCAGAATTTTGCTGTATAATCATATTTTCTGATTTTTTATAAGGTGGATATAACAATCCTAGTAAAGTGCAGTCAGCTTCAAGAAGAGTAGTATCTTTAGAAGAGCCCAAAAAACGTGAACTTAATTCTAAATCATTAATTCTTAACCGAACTTTAGTTCCTTTAGTATAATATCTAAAAACAATAATTAGTAAAATTAGATTATATAATTCACATACTCAGGATCCCTTCTAGGCCTTTGACATACACAGTGAAATTTAAACCCAAAATCTATGTAAATATCATCATTTACAACATGAAATACTTCCCCAACTACAATTTTTCCCTCTGGATCACCCAATTGCATAAATTTTGAATTTCTTAAAAGATCTTCAAACTTCAATTCATCTTTCTTTTTTTCTAAAGCGACAGGTTTTTCTTTAGGTAATTTTTCAAACTTTTTGTATGATTCTAAGAAAGATGATTTAACACTAGTTGAACAATTGACATTAAGAGGCTTATATTTAAAGAAAATATTTTTATAGCTGCATAATTTGAACATTTAGCATTCGCACATGTAAGATTTATGAATGAAAGCGTGATTATATTGCTTATTATAAACATTGACTAGAAAATGCAAATGGATTATAAACAATGATTATATTTGTAAGCCTAATAAATATATATTTATAATGTAACTTTATTAATATTTTTAAAACGCATTTCTATTATATATATAAAAATATACTCTAATTTATAATTTGTTAAAATAAAATTAGTTAATTTCTTACTAGCGACGAGAAATGCAAAATTTTTTAATAAATAAAACTTGGACAAAAATTAATAAAACAAAAATAAATAACAGCTTAAATATTATTCTTATTTACAGAAATTCATGTGAAATAAATTCCAAAATTAAAGATCGATTTAATAATTAAGAAAATATAAACATGTTTTAAAAAAAAGATAATAATAAAAGGTAAATATGTTTGAAAAACTCGAAAATGTATTTAATGGTTAAAATAAAATCATAAATTTATAAAATAAGAACAATAAGAACAATAAGTACGTACACAATTTAAAAGATTCAAAATAATAAATCAGAAATAGGATTATATCTGAAAAGTGGAAATCTTAGACGTTACTATAAAAATTATAAAGAAGTCTAAATAAAATTAAGTAAAAAGAGATGACACAAATATTTGGAAACATTATTCTTACAGAAAAATAGAATCAAATGAGTTTAGCTACAAAAGCAAGATAAAAAAATAAATTTTTTGGAACATTATTCTTTCGTATATTTTTTTATCATAACAGACAAATAACAATTTAGTATTTTAAAAAAATTATAGATGTAAATCTACATTTAGAATGCTATTAATTTTCAGTACTGTTAAAAAATTATAATTTTTATACAGGTATATATTGAGGGCTTTATATATTTAATATATACGTTTAATACTATTATAAGTTGTAACCGACTCATACAATCACATCCATTATCTTTATTCATATTATAAACACAAATACAATGACACTTAATAAAAAATATATATAGTCAACCATTATCAAATCCTCATGAGAATAGATGATCCCCCACTTTCCTCATCGGTGGTAACTAACTCACTATGAAAGCCAACATGCAGAAACAAAGCACCTATGATCAAATTTCATTTAGTTAGAAAAAAAATTGACCAGTTATCAACCTGATTTCATTAACGAGGAACCAACCTTTTAAAGTTACATACAAACTTGATCAAGTTGTTTAGTATATTACTCCAAACTATGAATGGATTAAATTGATGTACATTTATTTTGTGAAAACAGAGTAAGAAAAGCTATCAATATCTATTTTTTTAATCTAAAAAGGGTGATGTATCTTAATGCATTAGGAATAATGTAATATTACTGCCTTAATAAATGACAAAATAGTCATACATGCGAGAATAAGCAAAAATAATAAATTAAAAACCCTTTAATTAATTATATAGAAGTTTGCTAGTGAAAATTGCATTATTTGATAATATCAAAAATAAAGTAGTAGAAAGCACAGTAAAAAAAAATTTTTTTATTTTATTATATTAATATCATTTATTTTTTGTATTTTTATCGATTATATCATTTATATTCAGCAATTCCTTCTCTAGATTGCACATATTTTGTAGTGTTTGAGCATCTGTGAATCCAAAATTATCCGTCCTCTGTATTATAATAAAATATTTAATTGATAAATATAATCATCCAACAAATTCTTTTTTTCATACAATCTTATCCATAGCCGCCTTCTATATTGGTGCCCTATTAATTCCCTGTAATTTATTTTAAAATAGCGATTCAAAATCTGATATTAGGGTGTAGCCTAACCCATCCAAAAAAATATCTTGCAACTAAACTCACACAAAGACTGATTGGACGATCATGGAAGAATTAAATGACCATTTCAATTTATTTTTGCAAATTAAAAATATAAATTAAAATCAGCCATTATTTTATTGTGGTAAATAATGTAGTTTAATTATATTATTTTTTTACTCTATAAAACAACAATACATAATACTATCAAAACAAATCTCATAACAATTGTAACTTTAATTCGTTGAATTGTGTTGTTAGTTAGAAATTTGGCGGAAGTCAATATGTCGAATATCTCGGTAGATTTGATATCTCCTTTTTGAGAACCATTTTGGGTCACATTATTGTAAATGTCTAAAGAAGCTATTAATAATTTCTAATTATTTTCATATTTTAGTGATAATTATATGTTAAGAGTTTATAAGTCCAAAAGTTATCTTACTTTTACTTTTTTTGTAGCTATAAACCTATTTTGGACCTAGGGGTAAAAAGTACAAGATTATAAATACGGCTTACTCTGTATCAATTCGTCGAGGTAATTAAAGGTTTCGTTGATTAAATCTTTGTTCTCGAACCATCTTGGGTTTTTAGCGATTTGATTTCTGTAAGCTTTTATGAAATATTTGGCAGCCTAAAAGGTGTTTAAAAAAAAGAGATTTGAAAAAGATCATAATATTTTAATAAATCTAAATTTTTAAAGGGGAAAACATAGGTAGCTTAGCGGAGGAGAAGGGAATTTTCGAGCAAGCCTAAAATATTAATCTAAGCGTGTGTTTATATCAAAATTTTAAATCATATGATCAAGCGTGACGGCACATGAAAAAATCCCCAGTATTGTTTAATAATTAATATACGCGCAAAACAAATTATGTTAGAAAAAAAAAGGATGAGAGAAACTTGATATTTTTCTGACAGGTCCTCGGTTTGTGCTTCATATCCATCGTTCCCAAATTTATTGAAGGTGAGCATCAAAAGTCCGTATAAATACCATATTTTGGGGTTGTCAGAAATCTGTCATTTCAAAATAAGGATTAATAAAGAAAAATTTGCGAGTTAAATTATGATGCACATTTTTAAAGTTTCATAGAATTCTTACCCTCTGGAAGTGAAGTGCTAAAATATTTCCATAATAAATAATTATTAGATAGCCCTCTAATGACTCAAAGACCTGTTATGGGCCAAAAAAGAAAATGAACTATGGGACAGGTTTCAATTACAATTGGCTGGCTGGGCCAAATATATGTATTTTTTTTAGATTGCAAGCTCATGGGCATGGGCCGAATATGAATATAAAAATTTCGGCCTATGTAGGTCTGTGCTATGCATAACCCACTTTTAGTAACTGAATTCACTTTTGTGTTAATATTATGTCATTCACAACTATGAAAAATCTTATTGGTTACCCTTTCGACAAAGACAAACCTTATTGGTTACCCTTTCGAACAGAGTCTTTAATCTGCGTTTCATAGATTGGGATTGAGCAATACATGCAGGTTTAATTAAGGAGGAACCACCATCATCAGGGGAGTTACGCTCTTTATTGCTATAGGTTGACATAGCTAATTCCTTGACTAGAATAAGTAAAGTTGGAGGAAATAATCTCGAGAAGACGGTTAAATTTGAGGAACTTTGATCTTTGAATCTGTTGTAAGATGTTGACGAACCATCTTATAATAAAAATAATTGCAAGGATATTTAGGTCTGAAAATTCTAAATTTTTCAAGAATGGGATATATTTATACTCTTTAAATGAATTAGGTTGAAATTATCTGCGCATAAGATCTCCCAGGACTAACAGTAAGCATAAATATATAGAGTAGATAATCAGATTTTTGTGCCTGAACTATTTTTCAAGATAAGGCCTGATCCCGACTTATTTTTTCAAAAAAAAGTATTATTTTAGTTTAGAATCAGATCGGGAGGTGGAAGGAGAATTTGAGAATATTGGGCCGAGAAAAAAAAAATCATTTTTAAGTGCCAAGAGAACAATATTTTAAAAACTGGTGTTATTTGTGTGAAATATATCTATAGAAGTAAAAAAAATTAGAATTTTAACTGAGGACCGAGTCCGAATGAAAATGTTTATCCAGCTCCAACTGACCTAAGTCCGAGTTGGGCCGTATCAGACAATTCCGTTAGTTCAATTTAAAGCGGTGCCGATCTAAAGTTTTTAACCGATCCGATATTATTATAAAACCGACCCGATAATCGGTTAGATATTTTAGATTAATATTCTTTTATTAACTATCTACCTTTTGAATCGATGTCATGATCATAATTTGTCGTTTAAAATTATGTAAAAAAATGTAAATTGATTACGTCGTAATTAAAGTTATACTTGTAAAAATGTAAATTGATTATAATGATAATTGAGGGATTTTTTTTAGTATGCAAATTTTAATTGGTCAAAATTAACATAAATAGTAATATTAAAAATGTAATTATTTAATTATTAAAGTTTTGTTTTATTTGGTGTTAAAAAATAAAAATTTATTTAATTTTTTTGTAATTCGCTATTCTTTGGGATAATTATATTTAAATTAATAATAAAAATTTTTTAGTGTTATATAAAATTAAAAGTTAATTCAAATTATTAGTATTGAGAAAGAAAGAAAGAATGAAAAAGTTAATTCAAATTATTAGTATTGTCAAATTACCTAACTTTGACCATCTCTATTGTGCTTTAGTAAAGCTCGTAGACCCTAAAAAAAATAGAATTTAGCTTCTAAGCTGAGTCTCAACTTGAAGATTGATTAGAATATTTCTGGATAAAGATATGGGTCACGCTGTTTTATAGTTGACTAAAGATAGATAGTTTAGCGACACTAGCAAATTATTTTATATACAATTCCTTAAAATTCTTATTTGATAACCCGTGTCTTGTCACTACGGCAAAAAATAAAATTAACATTTTTTTTATTCAAACAAAAAAAAAATTTTCAAAGTTTTTGAGGGGAAAAATATTTGAAAATCGTAAAATTGAAGTTCCTTTTATTTAAAAAAAATATATTGTGATTTCATTGATAAGATCCAACATTATAAGCTCTATTATCGCTCATCACTATGCAAAGAATTCAAATACTCTTAATTTAATACTAACCCCCCCCACTACCACATATTAATTCAATTCAATTTTACCATTGTCAGAAGCCTTGTTGACGTCAAATACGAACTCTTTCACACCACCGTCATTATCAGCTACACCCTCGTGACCCCATAAAATATCTAGCAGGCTATTCAGACACCATATCATTTCTTCGCAATCTAAACGCCTGGTGGCCACGTAGAGTAAGTTCTCCCATATTTGCCAAGAACCGTGATAATTGTATTTCAAGGATTCCTATATATATTAACACACGCACACCAAAAATAAATGTGAGCTTGTTGAAAATATATATTAAAGAAAGGTAGGGTAAAAGCAAATACGAATTCAAGTACATTTGGATTAAAAATTTTACAAAATATGAGGAGAATGTCAAGTCATTATCAATACATCAATCAAGAATATTTAAAATAACAATAATTTATATAAACTGTCATTCATCTGTTATTTGTTACTTTTAGGGTAGCGCATGCGCCGACAAAATTCTCGGATTTTATTTGTAGTGAGGCCAAATTGTTCCACGCTTTAAAATTGTCGGGCTCTAACATGAGACTCCTTTTAAAACAATTTTCGGCGAATGCTCGATTATCAGCGTCACCTGTCACATCTTTCGATACCTTGTCGCTATTCGCGTCTTCTTCCATATTTTTATTATCATCGCCTTCACCACCATTTTCCTTATCGACGCTCATACCAAAATCGCCTCTATCTAGATCCGCTAAGTCATTAGTAATAGTTTCTTTCACATCTTCGGAGCAGCCATTTTTAACAGGGAGGATTTTGTCGGTAGATGGAATCATCATGGATAGACACCCAGCCGTGAAAAGAATGTCGGATTGAGAGGGGAAATGTTGCAAGGAAATTTTGAAATGGGAAAGTGCTTTGAGCAACTTTATTAGCGAATAAAAGTTTCAAAAAACGGTCAATAATTTGAGAAAATGATTATCATAATTTTTGTAAAGGAATGATTTTTCTGCACCTAATTTATTAATCTTTCGAATTATAAAAAAAAATTTCTATTAACTCATGTCACTCTATTTCGCCTTTGATACCGGAGACTCGTACATTTTCCCGGTGGGTTTCGAGAGTTGGGTCGGGTTTGGCGGACCTGTACTTGATATACCATTTGGGTCGACTTATAAATAAATCGTCATAACCGATCGGTATCTTAATAAGCGATACTTATTTTTATGTTTCGCTCTCTTCAAAAAACCCCTTTCCTTTTAATATCCAAACGGAAAACAAGAAAAAAAAGTGTTCTTTAAAAAATAGCACATTTTTTTGCTTCTTCAGGTAATAAAAGCCCATGGCGTTTTGAGCTTGGTAACATTTATTCCGGGAAACGTCCCACGCTTTCTCGTAATAGGCGGGATCGCTCTTGATATCCCCCATAAGCTTGTACAAATTGCCCTTTTCGATGTTCGACGCATCGGCATTTCCTTCCAGGATCCTCAAGGAATCTAGGATAGTTTTTTCGGCCTACAAAAAAATTTAAGTTTGTAAATAAAAATCCTATTTTTTTACTTTGGAAAATGACAATAAAATCTTAGTCTACCTTCAGCAATGAGATATAACAATATCTAGACCTGATAATGCATTCATAATAATGCATTTGAAAGGGGTCGTTGAATGCAAATCAGCTGGACCCGCCATTTTGGTCACCCATATAGTAATTATTCTCATTTTAAAAACTACCATTAAATCGATAACTCGCTTTCCTTATGATCTCGATGATCATGCGATTTTTTAACAAAGAATGCGTCAGACGTAGGAACAAAGTGGCCCTTTCGTTTTAAAATTTTTAACAATGATATGGGTAACAAAAATGGCGTTCCCAGCTGTTTATCATTGACGTATACTGCTAATGAATGCATCGTCAGTCTAGGTATTATCATGTGACATTGACCTTAAGTTTTACCAAATTTGACGAAAATCTGAGACCCACAGCGCCACCCCCCTTCCGTCCTTAAAATAGAAATGATTTTTAAAATACGTTTTCCAGGCTTAAAAATTTCGAATAAATCAAAAAAATCCGAGTTGAACCAAATTTAATTCGAAATTAATTTTACAATTTACATCTATTAATCCGTTACAAAAAATTGTAAAATGGAGCGTGTGATAGGCTTTAAATTAAAATACCCGGCCGGGCCGGGTTTGAAAATTTGTTCGAATCCGGGCCGGATAAACTTTTAGCTTCTAACAAGTCTTTGACTATGAGCTAATGAAAATTGGAGGGAAACTTAATAAAGAATAGAAAATTTTTTTGTTTCTTTCCAATTTTACCGTGTCCATTCTCCCCAGAGCCATGTAGCAAGAGATCTTGTCTGCTGTCATATTCAACGACTCGAAGATATCTAGGGCTGAACTAACGCAGCCCAATTTTAGGAGTATACGAGCTAAAAATTTCTTATCGAACAAAAAAAAATAATTTTTGATATGGAAAATCTTCAAGCTTTATATATATGTTAGCGTTAATACCTTTTTTCCCGGCAATGTGTTATTTTTTCAACTTTAAGATCATTTTTTGAGAGCCTTTTTTTTTAAATTTAAAAATCACCTGATTTTACCGGAAATGAATTCCATCGTTGTTTAGAATCACCTACCCTACGAATTTCAAACAAATTTTTCCACGAACTTTTAAAAAACTTAATTATAATTTATAATTAAAATTTTTCCGTATATATTTTTCCATACAAATTTTAGATGACTCAAAAGGTTAACGGCTAAATTGTCTACAATTCATAAGATAGGTATTCGAAAGGTGATAGAATATATTTTCGGTTATAAAATCCGGTTTTTAACTTCAACAAAAATGACATCTCAAGGTTTCAAATTTGTAAACACGACGCTGACATATACGAATATATAAAATTCTTAACACCACTGACTAACCCTTTTTTTTCTATATTCATCTATCCAAATTAAAATTCATCAAATTAAAAAAAAATATATATCAACAATTATTTAAATAACCGTCATTTTCGGTGAAATAAATATTTTACGTACTTTTTACTCGCCGAAGTTATTCGATATAAAAACGGCTAATTCAATACTATAACCAGAACAATATTACGAGAGCCCTGATGATTTTGGCCACAGATGGTATACAAAGGTTTGGGACAACTATTAGCGAAATCGCAAGGTTCAGGCGATATTTTTCCCGGCTAATATATCGGGTTAAACCGTATTTAAAAACCGGTCCAAACCGACCCGTTTAACAAAACTCTAATCGAAATAAATAAATTTTTTCTAGGGGTTTACTCAATCAACTATACGTAAAAATTTCAAGGGCCCGTATTTCAGAGGGTCATGATTTAAACTAAAAACAATTCAACTATATCTCCGCACCCAAGTACCTGCAATTTGTAGTAAGATGGCGGAGGTCCTGAGGCGTAAAACATGTTCATCCTATTTTCGTTCGGTATTATAGGATGTTTATCAATTTTTCCGTCACCTTCTTCGTATTTTGAGCTGAGAGCGTTTAAGTTGTCGACTAATTCTTGCGCTTGAGTCAAGGCTCTCTCGATCTTGCGTTTGTTTTCCACTTCGCACAGGCACCGTTGGTAAAGTGTAGAAAATTTGATGCTCCATGTTATACGGGATTTAGACTGAAGGGTTGGGGCAAGTATTAGCTTTTTTTAAAAATTTTTTATATTAATATATTCTAGTTTGACGAAGTAGTTCGTCGAAAAAAATAATAAAATAAATGAAAGAGGCTAGAGTGGCCAGCGTTATTGACCAAGTATAGCAATCAGGGAAAGTATCTATAATTGATTTTTGGATTTGATCTTCGCAGCGGTATCGCACCTTAAAACGCTCTTGTAGTAAAATACCGACTACGATTTTGAACGACGCGTATTATATTTAACGTGTGGATAGAAAGATTATCCGCCAATAAATTTCGAGTCCTACAAATTCAAATTCTAACCCGCCCATGCCCGCCGAATTATACTTTTTTTTCAGGCCCAAACCTGACGTAGCCCTAAGTGAAAAATATAAGTGAAATGTATATCTAATACATATCAAGTTAAATAAATTTTAAAATCACTAACAGCTTAGTAATCCCGGAGAAACTCTTATCATTAGTCTTGCTTTTAAAATATTTCTTTCAAGTCAGAGCTCGGACCCGTATTCAAGACCGAACTCCGACATGAATGATTTCTGACCGGGGCCGACTTGGCTCTAGCCTAACTTGTAAAATTTTGACTTTAAATTTTAAAAACTAAATAAAGGAGAAGGAAAGATAAGATCAGTAATCGCAAGGAAGGAAAAAATATAACAAAGATATATTAGAATTAGAATTTGACCGGACCTAAAGAAGGGTCGGGCTATAGTTTCTAGACCGGGGTAAGAGTGTCACAAATCCTGGGGCTAAATGTGATAACTTATTTCGGCTGAAGGTCATCTTTGTAATAATTGTTGTAATATGTAAGTTACTTTGAAATAAAATAGAGGAAAAAGAAGTTATATTCAAATCGATTGTTACAGAAAAACGTAACGAATTATTAGATTTTTTGAATAAAAACGATGTAAATGAATAGGCAAAGAAAGTATATAAAATCGGGAATATTTTACTTAAAAAGAAGGATCATGATTTTACGAACTTAAATTTTTAATCTTTTAATTTCAATTTTTTTTTATTATTTTAATTTCTTATTTTAGTTATGATTATGTAATTAGTATTTATATTAATTAATAAAGTATTAGTAGTTAATTTATTTACACTATTTATTTTATTCTCTAAATTCTCTCAACCACTACATTTGTTGGCCGAAACATTATGTTCTATGGACACATTCAGTCTAATTAACCTTTCTTTATTTGACAACGGTTCTAAGTTCCCAAATAAATTCAACCTAACTTTGACAATAATAATATTTTTTTACATCCAAATAGGGTTGAATTTGTTCAAACAGTAAAGGGTCGTTGGGGTAAAGCAAATTTATGTGCCTGACGGTGGCGAGTAAAATTAATCTTTCCATATTAGTTATGACTAGGATACTCGAATCGATCAAATCGTTCCCCGCATTCTCGGGACTCTGATCCAGGTTAGGGTTGGGTTCCGGATGAGCGCCGGTTGCTGAATAGGCTATCTTATCTAGTAACGTATCATCGTCGAGAAAAATATCCTGGAGAAAAAAAAAATCGAAATATCATTATTTATATAAATCATTCAAATTTTCGAATGCTTCGTGTACGCGCATCACATTCCCTTTCAATCCTCGAGGGAAAATAAAATAAAAACTTGCTCACGCGACCTACAAGCGGAGCTTCATTTTTTCCGCCAATGACTCGATATAACTTATAATCAGGGTTACCACCATCCTATTTACGTACTTTAGGTAACATTTTGTTATTGGTATCTTCCGTATCGGAGTCGAAATATTTGCGCGAGTCAAAGGTACCCTTTCTTTCGACGCGCAATAACAATTGGGCAATGTCGTGCTTTTGAAACTTTGTCCTTTTACCCAACGCGCCTAAAGCGAATAAAAAAAAGCATTTCTATTGGGCAATAGCATAATAACTTATGATTGACGTTTTGTTTTTACTTTACCCCCCCCCCCCCCTCCAACACTCTTTTCTTTATTTTTATACATTTTTGACATACTTACCCGTCAAGATAGGGTCAAATAAATGCTTGGTCAACGATCTTAGCCTATTAATGATGTTTTGGGAAAGATTGATATCTCCGATCAAGCAACTCATACAATGAGCTTCTATCAAGAAGAGCGCTAAACAATCAATGTTACGGTCACCATTTCCGTGATCGACATTCAAATCGCTTTCGCTTTCAAAATTATCCCCACCGAGCGGCGACCTAATTGCGTTATCGGCGCTGAGCGAATCCCAGCCATTTTGAAGACTAATTTCTTCCAAGATGCCTTCGAATCCAGGTTTGAGATCTTGGCTTCTTTCATCTACGAGAGAACTCTGGTACAGTAACAAAAATCTTAGCTGCCAAAATCGAAAGCCCTGTTATAAATATCATCAGTAAACTAATTGTTCATGAGAAACCAAAAAAAAGTAATTATTTATTTTTTTAAAACATTATAATTTATATTTACCATTTTCAGATGAAATACTTTTATTACACTCCGATAATTTAAGCAAAAAAAATATGAACTCAAGCTTATCAGTATTCTAGTGATATCTATAAAATCCTTAGGTGTGTTAAAGTTTATACTAATTATACTAATTGGAACTGTTTTTTCTTCTTCTTCTATTATTATCTCAGATCTTGAGCAGTTTTCATAAAATTAATGTTAGAATATCCAAAAATTTCGTTAATTTTAGGTCCGGCTTTATTTTATTAGCTACGCATATAAAAGAACGTAACAATTTGAAAGTGGAGTCTGCCAGATCCCACCCGTGTGTTTAGGCCATTTTCGTTTTCTCAAGTATACTCAAGAGTTGCACAAGATGAGATCGTTGTTCTCGAATAGCGTCTCCTAGCTCAGCCGGTCGGTGATTGGGGAGATTCCACTACGAGTTTCGATCTGGATTCGATCCCAAGTGGATCTGGTTTAAATTTCCCGAAACTAATCAAAGAGGTAGTGCGCCACTGTGTACGATATATTGACCAGGGCATGATTACGTCAATCTTATTAATTAGAAAAAAAAGGCGCACCATCATTTTAATACAAAAAATTCGTTGTTTAGCAAATCTTGTAAACAAAAGATGAGTTTTAAACATTCAAATAGATTCTGATGCATTAACTCTGATTTTTCCTCCCATTCCAGTTGACGTAAGTCCAATCGAAGAGACAACAATCGGTATAAAAAACATGATTAGTTACTGTTTCAAATGTCAGTTTTGAGATTATACAAAAATACATTTTCGAGAAAAAAAAAGAATTCGATGTATCTTTATCGATTATACTAGCGGTGTTAAATGGCTAGATATGAGCAGATTTTCTTTTAAATTAAAACGGCGAATTCGATATTCTAATCCAGCAAAAAAAAATATTACGCAGGCCTGAAGATTTTTCTCATAGACGGCACAAAGATCTAGGAGTCCATTTTTTCTGGCTAAAGAATTGAATTCTTTTTTTTTAAAAAACCGCCCCACGAGTCGCTTAGCAACACTAAATCTTACTTAGAATACTGAGGATGGGAACGATCTGTCGTCCCTCTATTTCTAGTATTCTTTAGTTTTTTTTTTACCTTCGAAGACATTTAATTCGGGCTTCTTTTTTTATATGAAGATATAAAAATGGGTAAATTAATTAAACTTTCAATTTTGCAAATTATTTGGGCCCATAATAACTATTTGGAATCAATGTTACTAAATGGTTTCAAAGATATATAACTTCAAAGGTTATTAATGCGAAATTTCCACTACAGCTCTAAATTGACCTGCCATCTGGTTCAAAGTCGTACTTAGATTTTAAAATTTCGATTGTTGGCCAGGTCAGGCTCAGAGACCTGCAGAAGTACCATTTGCCTGGCCTGTGTAATCCAGGCGGGCCTGTAGGTCTTGAGTCAGGCTAAACAAAGAAATTTAATATTAATATGAGCAATATTTGTAAATTTCTTGCAAATTGCTTACTATTTTTATTTTTCTTTGTAAATTTTCAAATTTTAAATGTCCTTTATATATGTAGTAATTCTCAAGTTCCAATTTTCAGGATCAAGCTGATTCCAGACAGATTTCTTTATACATTTACAATGGTTATACTGATAATATGATTAGAAGATTCTATTTAGCTATAAGAAATGGATGGCACTGATGTTCATCTAATGAATTGCTTTTAAATTTTCTAACTATCAACAATATGCATTTTTGTTATTTTTAGATAAAAAAAGGAGGTTTTGTAGCATCTTTGGCTAATTAAAATCACATATTTTTTACATTTGTGTTATGAAAAATTTGGAGACCTAATTTTAAAATTCTTATATTTAGGCTATATTAGATAGATCTCAATGAAAAAAAATTTGGCACACTTATCAGACTAATAGCTGAAGATTCAATTTCCTTTGAAAAGACTTACAAAAAGAGGTCCAATGACTCTCTCTTGTCTTTAAAGATGGTTAATCGTGATAAAATTACAAATATATAATTTCTCTTATAAAACCTATTTAAAAAAAAATGTCAGTTAAAAGATCTTGCCTATGATAAGTATTCAAATCAGAGATCTGGAACAAAGAAATTTTTGCATTCTTGTTTCATTCAGGCTAAAAAAAAATATTATCCATTCCATTCCACATTTTGAAAAACTTTCCTGACGGAAATATTTAATTTTATTCCTATATGAAATATATAAATTTTATTATCGATCAATTATCATCAAAATATTTATTAGGCATTCTCTAAAGATCATCATTTATATGTATATGCCATATATACACATACAAATTATAATTATCCCATCAAAACTCATAACTTTGATTATATAATATTAATTTAACTTTAAAATATTTTAAATTTGATTTTTAAAAAAAATTATTTAATACTAAAAAAATGGTTAATAAAATTGTTATGTGAAGTTAACTAGAATTAAAGAAAGAAAGCATATTTTCTGAATAAGCAAAATTATATTTGTTTTTCATTAATTTATAGAACATTCTTCAACTGTAGTGGATATAGTAATCCTGTTCCAAACTTGTTCCATAACTTTCCCTAAGTTCCAATCCCAAAATGTTTTATTTATTGACCCTGATTTAAATTTATAAACATTTTTATATATAATTAAGCTTAATCAATAATTAACAAATAAAAGTATATGTAATATTAGTTATTAATCCTATAATGAAAAAAAAAATATGTTAATTAAATATGGATATCATTACTGGGATAGACAAAAATTCATTCTGAAAGTCTGTAAATACTAATTTTGAGATGTATAGTAGCACTAAATTTTTATATAATGTGTTTATGACTTTGGATCCATCATTTAATTTTTCAGAAAAATAATTATCATTATCTATCTATGAAATGCCATTAGAAAATATGTGATTTAAATATAAAACATTAGTAGATATAATATAGCCATCTAAATCATCCTTTAAATTTATTTTCCACCAATTAATTTGAATGTATAAATTCATCAAAGATACTGCAAGATATATTATCTTTTTCTTTTTACTAATAAATTCATATCAAATGTGATAATAAAAATGATATATACACCTTTGTAAGTCATCATTTAAGAATATATAATCTTTTAGACCATTAATAATCATTAGGGATAAATCCTGGTCTTTTTCGGAAAACCTAAGGAATTTAAACATACTGAGATGTTTAATAACTTTATTTATTTCATTAAAATATAAGAGAGAATCATCGCTATAGGAAGTATCTTAAATGCATATAAATTAATTACATATTATTTTATTTATACTGTACCATGTTTACAATTGAATGATCTTTCATATAAAGTTAACAATTCATGCATTTTAAAAAAAAAAAATTAGTGACTTTAATAACCGAATGCTGTAAGGTAACTTCACTCGCTACACGGCTTACCTTTTTGAGCAAATAGAACGTCATTCGTAACTTGTTTCAGAAGGTAACGAGCAACTAGTTTCTGTTTTTTTTGAGTAACGATAACTCAAAACGTTACTCGTTACTGTTACAAATAGCGAGGAAATTTAGATAACCACTTTAAAAAAAGAATATAAAATCAATTATTTAATAGTCAAATGAAGATGAATTAATTTTGATTGTGTGTTTAAAAAAATGTTGTATGCAAATAGCGAAGTGTATAATAACAAAGAAATTTGTAATCAGTTCGTTCGTTGTTTTTTTGTAAATTTTCAAATTTTGGTGACCCCCCTCCACTTCTCCAGTGAAGCTATTGTAATTGATATTGAATCGATCAAGGTATGTTAATTTATATTCTTTAAAATAAAAGAAAAGGACATATTATTTTTAAAATAATATATGTCAATAGTTTTCTTCAGATGAAAAGAAAGTAAAATTCTTCGAGTGATAATATTTAACTCTGCTCTGTCCCCTGTATGAAACATTTTTACTCAAATAAGGAAGTGGTTATTGTTGTGATTTTCAATTTTTTTTAGTTGAAATTTCAATCATTTTAACTTTGATTTTTTTTAGTTATCATTTTTTTTTTCGTTTTTTTTATAAATGATTTTTAATGATCATTAATTTTTTTATACTAAAATTTATAAAATCATTTTTTGATTATTAATTTTATGCGTAAATTTATAAAAGAGCATTCTTTGATGATCAATTTTTGTTATTAAATTTTGAAAATTTATTAATTTTATGATAAGAAAAAAATAAATGCAATTTGTACGATTACTGCTGTTCTGATAATTTTGTGTTTAAGAAAGTTATATATTGATCATTGTAAGTCTTATATTGTTTGTAGGATCTTATTTTTTGGTAAATTCCCTCATTTTCGGGTTCTTTCGATTTATTGATTTTCAGTAAGTTTTTTTTTTTTATTTTATATCTTGACCAGTTTTTTTAAGCTTTATTTTGATAGTTATCAGCTAAGCCTACAAATTGTAAAATTTGATTTTTCCCGAATTCAAATATTTTAACCTCGATGTCCTGCAGCTCAAATCTAAATTAGCATATAAAAGTAAAAAATATGAAACTAGATTTTAAATTCTGATAAAGATATTTTAAAAAAATGTTGATGAAGATCTGATTCTGTGATTATTATTGTTAAATGGCTATAGTTAGCCAATTTTAAAAAGATTTTGGCCTAAATAATAATATACAAGTCTCGAGATACTTTTCTGCTATCTATGAGTAAAGCATTTAGGCTTGAGTAAATTTTTATGGCTAAAAATGGGGTTAATCGTTTTTTAAAAATCTAGCAGTTTAACAGGAACTTGTAAAGACAAAAAAATTTATTTTGTTATAAATTCGTATACGATTTTTTGAAAATAAAGATATCCTTCTTTCTATACTTTTAATAGATTTCCCTAAAATTAAAATTTTTATTTATTTAAATATAAATACCCACCCCACTCCCACATCCTCTGTGCCAGTCGTTTGTTTGAAGCGAAAGCTGTATTGAGTACTATGTGCTTAATTTTTTCACCTGATCAAAGTTATAAAAATCAATTGTTATGAAAAATTATTTTAAAAAAGAACTATTCCTATAAAATATAATTTTTTTCAATTTTATTTTAGTTATCTATGTGGAAATGAATAAACAAAGTGAAAATTTATATACAATATTTAATATTTTTCAAGTAACGATCAGTGAATTAAATTTTTAAGAATATCGAGTAAAACGTTCCTTATTTCATAAGGTAACTATAACGAGTTCCTTTTTTTCAAAAGTAACGAAAACGCGTATTTTAGGTAAGGTTTATAGGACTGGTAATAACTCATTTTTTTTCCTATTAATAGATATTTACTTTATAGCGCGATTTAATCGAGCTGGTGAGTGGCGGATTCATAAAAGCGGATATGGCACGGAAATGGTAACTATCAAATATTTTAGGATATTATAACGTATAATTGTGTTTATAAAAGGTTTTAAAATATGTATTACGTTAAGACGAAGCATACATTTACCAGGATTGGTCAAACCATACAAAAATTTAAGATTTTAATAATTCAAATAAAATTTCAATTGATATTTTGAGCACCGTAATTCATCATATTTCTAATTTAATTTTGGTCAAATATTTATAATTGAATCATCTATATCAAATGAGCCGTTAATTCTGAATTGGTGATGAAAAAATTTATTTTTTTAATCAGTACTATTTATAGGAGTTTCATATGGGTAGTAATGTATAGTGTTGAACGTTTTTATCTCTTTTATTAAAATATTAGATAGCGTCACAATTATATCCTTAATACAAGAAAATTTGTTGTCTGCGAGTAGCGTCAGTGACTACGTGTATCACTAAACCAATATCTCTGGGTTTGAATGATGCAGGTACCAATATTTTTATTAAAATTAAAGTTCAATGTGACGGGGAATGATAAACCGAACGGAGGCGACTGGAATTAGAAAATCACATTCATGGGGCAACTCATATTAATTAATTTTTTTTATAAAAAAAGGAAAAAGACTCCACATTGCGGATAAGATATTATTTTATTTGACTTTTTAAGATTAAAATATTTACCGTTTTTTAGGGCATCTGTAATGCATAATTATACTAATTTAATAAAATTTTCATGCCATTTTTAAGAGTTCCATTTTCAATGCTGATTTTATGTGAACATTGACTAAATATGAGAATTATATATATCTTATGAGTTTTTTACATTACTTCCCCAATTAAATTTAAACATAAAATTACACAAAACTTGTGGTATTTAGATATTTCTGATAGTTGATGTATATTTTTTTTATCTATTAAATTCATATTTTTTCTAATAAAATAAAATATTTCAAATCACTTATAATCATCACAAATAAGTAGCGACTTATGAAAGATAATATCGGTAAACAATTGTAATGTAAATGTAAACATAATTTAACTATTGAAATTAAATATTTTTTTTTTCTTTTTAGCTTTCACCTTTTTCTGGTTAAAGCTCCTTCAATATCTCTCTCTCCACATTATTACTCATGCTTCTAATTTATATTTCTGATATCCCCCACCGGAATTTCTTATCGATTCCATTTGTATCGAGGCCATTGTATCTTGATCTGACACCGAAGTATCAATATCGACAGATATCCCACCGAGTATCGTTATCAAGTCCATTGTAGATTGGTAGACATTGTGCTTAAACGGCCCCCGTGGTCACCGTTATCCTAGAGTTGGCCAGAAATCGCTAGTATACTTGAATGGTCAACGAGGTCAGCTGGCCATTTTATTTTTGGTTTATTGGATAAGTATCCTAGCACCCTTTTGTCCAAGCCTGTCGGTGACCGGGGTGCCATTAGCCAGTTCAGGAATTTATCCTATCATATATCTTTACACATCAGTATCGAAAAAACCTGAAAATTTTTACGTTCTTTACCAGGATTTGAACATGGGACCTTCGGTTTACAAATATACATCATAAACCCAATAGACCACCCCTGCGACTGAAATTAAATATATAAAAAACTTGATGTGAGAATGTATTCATAAATTTTTTATTCAATTTTATTGAATGAGGAGACTAATCACCTTTCGATTTTCAATTTCTTAAAAAACCATGACATATTAGCGCCATCTTTCAAAAAAATTTTTGTTTTTTCTTCCTTAAAATTTTCCCCAAAACAAAATCTCATATTTGTACATTCATTACTTTTGAACATGAAATGCAAATATCATTCAATTTATAGATATCCCTAAATTCATTGATAACATATAATAATTATAAAGAATTAATATCTTAAGAAGGAGAATAAATTCCTTCATACATTGATGTCCCTCATCTCCATGAATAAAGAATTGTCATTGCCTAAAAAAAGATAAACCCTCACTCATTGAGATAAAGGCCAATTTGATCTTACAAGAAAATTGACAATCTCAACATAAAAGGAGAATTTTGATTATAATCAAATGTGATATTTTGTAATTACCGTTATATTTATTCGATTACTATTTAAAATTTAGATTACAATATCTATCGATTTTATAAATTTCTATTATTTATTTTTTGCAGATTTTTCCGTACCCCTTTCGACTTAGGCAAAATCACTTCATTTAGGCCGATATTTTAAAAACGGCTAACTCAATATTTTCGCTAAAAGAAATATTACCTAATTTTCGAGATTGTCCAAAACCTTTAAGGCATATGTGAACAAAATCTTCAGTCTTGCCTAATATATTTCTAGAGAAAATACTGAGGTGACCGTTTTTACAAATGGCTTCAGAGTATCATTATCCCTTACCCATTATTTCTAGACATATGGCTAAATTTCGTCAATATATCCATATCAAAAAAAATACCCGTAATATATATTTTACAATCATGTTTTTGGCCAGTGCCGAAATAACTACATTATTATATTTAATATGATATTGTGCATTAAATAAAACTTTTATTTCTTGTTAATTAATTATATTTTTTAAAAAAAATTGACCAATAGAAAAGCATAGAAAAAATAATTATTTTATTTTAAAATATAAAAGATGCCATCTTGCGGATAGGATATTATTATTTTTTAAGTTTTTTAAATTTAAAATAGTTACCCTATGGGGCGAACAAAATGCGTAACGCATAGTAATAGCATACCTATTTTAAAATTTTAACCAATGAATGATTAATTACAATTTTGTTCTTAGTAAAAAAATAAATATCGAGACCACAACAATTCTCAGTGCAAGAATTCCCCTCTTGCATTATATTTTATGTTTTCGGGCGA